CGCAAGACAAGAAAATTTATTGCTGCCACAAGAGAAATAATGGAAGAGTCTCTCAAGGCCTTGCATATAGAAGCTAGTGTTTTGGCAAGAATGTCAAATGCTATGTGTGACATCCTGCTGTCTACAGAAGAAGTTGTATTGGCGTTAGTTGGTAACGTCCTTACCATCAAGTCTGTTCGACTTCAAACTGAGTAAATGGGCACCCGGAAGATTCGGATTACTTTGCATCGAGTGCCCATGTACATCTCTAAGGACCATCTTGAGCCTTCTTTTCGGACTATGGGCCTGTTGAGTAGGTATCCTCTGTCAAATGCAGAGCGGGCATCACGTGATTATGATCTGATGGTGTCTGGGAAGGAAGCCAACACCAAAAGCAAAAGCCATCATCATCTGAATAGCCTAAGGAGGATGCACCCTTGAGGGGCCCCCAGTGGTCCCTGTGAGTGAACGGAGGTTGTAATGAGGGGATCTAAGGCGGTAACTTTGCCTCCCTCGTAGGATGTCCCAAGTAAAGTGGCTTTTAAATCCAACCTAAAGCGGCAAGTGCAGCCGAAGCAGCAGCAACAGTGACCAACGAGACCCTGAGCGGCCAAAAACGGTTCCAACAGCAAAATATCAAATATGAAATAAACAAAAACTAGGAGAATCCTTTTTAGATGTATTGCTTGATTAGAATAATGAAATCTTTAATGTAATCCGAATAACCAGTCACCCCCATGAATGATTACACTATAGGTAGTAAGTACCTATAAAGTCAACTGTCTACGAGAGACTTGAAGAAGAGCGATAGCGAGAAGACGCAAGTACGTCCGACCTTCCAATTAGTGGAACTCACTACTAGATTGACTTGTGTGTATAACTGTACCGTATTTCATATTGTACTTGTTGGTTACAATAAACCTTTTCTCCTAGTATCCACCTGGTGTTAAGTAGTTATTCCCTTATTCCCGGCATAAAACAAACTTTAAAAGCACTGTTGATAAAAAAATAATAACCTGTTCAAGTCCCTGTCTACTACACGACAAAAGCTACTCAACTCTTCACGTAGCTATAAATTAACAGTCATAAATCTTACAAATAAATTAGCGGAAAATTCTTTGTCTCTCAAACCCATCTAACTCGACCCCCACTTGCTAGACATAGACATATTATACCTTTCTCGGAATCATTCTGATTCCGGGATTGAAAACCTGCCCTTCACCTAGTACTTGAATATCTAGCATTGAGATTTGTGTCCAGTTCAAGATGGGACAGTGGAAAATTCAAATGTTAAAATAACTGAAAAAATTATTGATTTTAAATGTGTCTAATTTATATTCAGTTTCAACTAACGCAAAACATTGTAAACTTAAAAAAATTTTTTTTTAAATTCAGTTTTAATTAACTTCAAAACATTGTGAATTGAGGAAATCAATTTTATTTCTTCAAAATACCAAGGAATCAGAGTTAATGCGAGAGACTTCGTGATGTGAGTTTGTTATTTGAAGTATTCAGCGCAATTGATGTTCCACAGAGTTTGTGATATGAAGAACTCAATTTTCGGCCTGAATTGCAATCTGAGTTTCAGCCCAAATCGGTCTTTTGACCGGATCGGACTTATAGCCCGAATCAGAGTTAAAGTGAGGTTTTGAAGTTCCATGGAGTGAATTGAAAAATTCAAAATTATTTTTTTCAAATTTATCATTGATTTTTTTCTAAGCTGGATCACAGGTCCATTTAGATATTTTTTGCCGTAGGCCTGATTAGCCCACCGCAGGATCTAGTTTGAATTCTTTACAGAGTGCGGCATTGAAGGTAGGAATTTAATATAGAGAGAGCATTTAATAAGATATAAACGCTCTGTATTTTATAAGGAACTCAAAATACAAAAACAAACTTTAGGATCAATGCTTTCCTCCTAGACCAGATAGCCGATGCACAAATTAAACTAACCTTAGTAAATATAAAAATGAACAATAATACAAATAATAATAATAATAATAATAACAACAAACACCGTTAAATTATTCTAAGCAAACCAAGTAAACAATAACAACCAGCTAGAAGAAAAAATATAACGACTTTAATATATAGATATCCCCTCTCACATATGTGTAAACTCGGCATTTACTAAATAAATATAAAAGCTCTAATATAATGCCAACCTCCTTATCCAAAGAAATGTATATATTCCACAAAACAATGAGATTTATGAATTAATTTGCCCACATCTGGCAACTAATAACCAGAAATGCATACATTGGTTACATAATCAATACATTATCACGTTGACTAACTTGACATTTATCCGGTAATAATCTAATTAAAGCCCATACCAACAGCTAACATTAAAAAATGCAAACAAAAAGAAATCATAATGAATCTGCAATTCTGTTTCATTCACTCTCCCACTGCTGTAACGTGCCTTTTCTATAAATACTTTCATGGTAATTGTTCGGATGCTATATTAAATAAATTTTATGAATATATGTAGAATGCACAATTGGCGGCGAGGTCTCATAAATTCACAATTTATATTCGTGGAAGTCTCTTCCTGCTACATGCTTTCCACCCAATCTCCAAAACTTTAAATGCAAAGTCACTCATTATGTACTGTTTTCTTGGTATTTATTCTTTTATTGTACTCGCTCCTTAACACTGTTTCTATTTTTTCTTATTCCCTCGCACTCAATAACACCTTGTGGTTTTACGACTTGCCTGCGGTGATATGATAATACAACCAAAAAGACACAAAATAATGTACGACAAAACGTAAATAGTGCCAAACTACACGGTATCAATAAGGTTTCATTCAACTTAGAAACAAACATATTAAATATATTTCAGACAAAATAATAAAATTTTAGATAAAATTTAAAAAATGCTTGAAAATACCGTCACGACATTCACAACACGTGAATACACGAGATGTGTAAGAAAAAAAAAGTACAATAGAACGTATCGACAAGACATAACACTCGTAAACTACCAAAGAAAACACGATACACACATTGGCACAATCTTATCAACACAGAAAGTTATTTGATAATTGCTTATAACAGGGCCCAGAAGACACCGAAAAATTTATGTTCGTATTTCCCCCGGAGACCAGATGTGAATTACTGGAAAACCTAAAACTTCAATGCTTAAATAAATGGCGTAGGGCAAGGATGTGTGTTCCCAACAGATTTATTCCACCTCTACGCCTAAGCTACCTTAAGAAAGATGAAGATTATTATTATTATTATTATTATTATTATTATTATTATTCTCGTCGTCGTCGTCGTCGTTGTTGTCGCCTTTCAGAACGTAAGCAATCGTGTCTCTCCATAAATTCCTATCGCTTGTATTCGTTAGGCAAGTTTTATTTTTCCCAACATTCCCACATATTGTTCCGCCATTCATTCACTTAAGTTCCTCAGATAGGTGACCAGATGCCATTGTGTCTCCTTCTTGACTTTCTTGCTTGTCAGTATCATACTTTCCAAGCAGTTCTTTCTCATTATCTGCCCAAGAAATACCAGTTGTCTATTTCCGATTCTGAGTATAATATAATATATCATTTTTGTTATTATTTCTCTTAAGACTTCTTCATTGTTTCCCCGTTCGGTCTATGGAACTCTCCACAGAGTTCTGTAGAACTATATTTGTTATCTCGATTTTTCTCTTCATCTGTGAGGAAATTGTCCCGCACTGATTACCATACAAGATGATTGATATTAAATAACAATTCAACACTCTTTTCTTTGTTTCTAACGATATGTCTTTTTTTTTAAATCTTTCACATCAAGCAAAGTAATAAAGCCACTAAGACGCAAGATTTTAGGGAATTTTAGAGAACACAAAACATTATTAAATCTGCGTTAGTCACATGTGGTGTTTTGTTAATCTAATAAATTTTAAGCACTCCTTGTTGGAAACTTCTTTCTTTTTGCCCTGGTCCATTACTCAGCTGGTATGTAGCACGCGCTGTGGCGCACTTGTAACTCAGTTGCTGTGGGAGGCTGAGACCAGGGGTCTTTTCATTTTCCAAAATCTGAGGTGACAAATCCAAGGATAAGGAGAAAGAATAATAAAATTGAGAGAAATTCAGAATCGTTTCAAATCATGCAATGTAATAAAGACACAAGAAACTTTAACAATGGTTTTATAACGATATGTTATTTAACATAACACACACGCGCACACACACACACACACATACATACACACACACACACACACACACACATATATATATATATATATATATATATTTTTGTGTAAGTTTGGTAAATATATCTGTTAAAATGATATGTCAGCGATATTTTCATTTTCGCAAAATTTAGACGACAATATATCTATCCCTCCCTGTACACACACACACACACACACATATATATATATATATATATATATATATATATATATATATAGATAGATAGATAGATAGATAGAAACAGTGAGATAGATGGGAGAAAAGGGAGAGAGCGGAAATAGTGTAAAAGCGAAGAAAAGAAATAATCTTCAAACACAGCTCTACAATTTTATTATTGAGTATGAAAATAAGTTTTGTTTACTTTTAAGCTGAAAGAAACAACTTATACACTTCTTTGGAAACAAAGTTCGCATGAAATACGTTTTGTTTTACTTTTACAACAGAAAAAATGAATTGAATTAGTATAGGATAAATGATAGGCATAAAATTATCATGGGAAAATCCACAATTTACGTTATATTGTATACAATAATACAAACATATACAAACGAGAGTGTTACAGCAAGAATGTTCTGTCGACTGCTCCTATTTATAGCTGGGAGATTCCATGTGTGCGTGGGTAAATTATCGTAATATTTACCTTGTTTTCCAGTTAACGTTGAGCGACAAATGCTGTAGAACTTCTGTTCTGTTAATTCCTGTACTTTTATTATTTTCTCGCCTTGATAATACAAATCTATGTCTGTATATGTGATGTTCCTTTCATCGTCTCTCTTCATATTTCTCTCTCTATTATCCCCTATCTAGCTATATTTTTCTGTGTATGTCGGTCTCAGTCGCTTTGTATCTATCCCACATTTTCTGTTTCCTCGTCTTTGCTTCTTTCTCTCTGTCCGATCACCTTATTTCTCGCTATCCCTCTATCTATGGTTGTTTGTCTGTATGTCTCTCTTTCTCTTTCACACACATACGCTCACACAAACACACACACACACACTCTATCTCCCTCTCTCTATCTCGATTTAGGTTTATAATTCAGTCTTTCTGTCTGGCGTTCAGCCTCTATCCATCTGTCTCTATCTGTCTCTTCTAAATCTCTCTCTCTGTGTTTGCGTCTCTACTTTTGTGCGTCACCATCACCCCGTAACTATCGACATTCCTCCGTGTGTTTCTGACTGTCTCACTTTGTATCGATCACTCTTTTTCTGTTCCCCGTCTTCGGGTTTTTTTTTTCTGTCTACCTGACCATCTCTCCTCTCTCTTTCTCAGTGTGTGTGTGTGTGTGTGTGTGTGCGTGTGTTTCTGTTTTTACCTTTCTGTCTGGCTTTCAGCCTCTTTCAATCAATCTCTCTTTCTATCTTCTAAATCTCTATGCTTGTCTGTATCTCTTCCATCGTATTCCTCTCTATATTTTCTGTGTCTCTCTGTCTTTATTAGTTCGTCTCTCTCTCTCTCTCTATTTCTCTCTCTCTCTCTCTCTCTATTTCTCTCTCTCTCTCTTCGTGCTTCAGTTGTTCCCTTTCTACCTGGCTTTCAGCCTCTTTCAATCGCTCACTCTTTGTATTTTCTAAATCTCTATGCTTGTCTGTATCTCTTCAATCGTATTCCTCTCTATATTTTCTGTCTCTCTGTCTTTATTAGTTCGTATATATCTCTCTCTCTCTTTCTCTCTCTCTCTCTTCGTGCTTCAGTTTTTCCCTTTCTGCCTGGCTTTCAGCCTCTTTCAATCGCTCACTCTTTGTATCTTCTAAATCTCTATGCTTGTCTGTATCTCTTCCATCGTATTCCTCTCTATATTTTCTGTGTCTCTCTGTCTTTATTAGTTCGTATCTCTCTCTCTCTCTCTCTCTCTCTCTCTCTCTGCCTCGCTGTTCATCTCCATCTCCCTCTTCTTAATTCTCTCGTTCTGCCTGTCCCTCAATTTCTGCCACTTACTCTTCCTACGAATCTCTCTCTCACGGCGTATATTTCTAAATTGTCTCCCCCTTTTTGTTTGTTAGCAAGACTCGTTCTCTCTCCGTGCCCACCACCCATATTTTGTTAATCTGCTCAAAGCATTTATTGAAAGTCAATGTTAGCATTAGCATTTTTTTTCTTTTGCCTTTGGATAGTAGCGAATAATCTTCCCCTTAAGGTCCAATAGAAATAGCAACATCAAGAGGAACATCATGATTATCAACAACTAAATTTTATAAGAAAAATTACAATTTACAAAAGAAAAAATTGCTGAATTTTAAAGAAATAAATAAGTCCTCTTAAAATAAAGAATACGCCAACTTTGCAACTTTTTTCTTTCGCGTTTACATCATTGCTTGCCTTTTTTTTTTTATCCAACGCCAACAACCTTTACAAATATTTTTATTCACAGTGTGTATTTTTAAATTTATAAAGAAAAAATGAAAAGAAGTAGGATTTCCTTATTTTCTTTTGCTTTTTCGCTCAACAACAACAGCAAAAAAAAAAAAAAAAATGGAGGAGAAGAGTTTAAACCGGAAGCACATTCCTGGATAGCTATATTTTTTTTTCTTCAAGAGTTTGTAAGCTGCAAGCGAATTTGTTTCGACAATAAAATACTGAAATGCATCTACCTGTCGCACTTAAAATCTATGCACCAATATATCCAGTTGAGAGATTAGAGGTAGGCAGAGATTCAAACAGCGGGAGAAAGTGTTCAGAGTCGAAACAGAATTGACTCGATAAGAAAAACGTTGAAAACACGGGCATGCGCATATGTATTGATGTTCTGAGCTTCCTTGCTTACTGGCGGGAAGCTACCAACAAGAAGCGGGTGGCTACGTAATTCGAAACAAACAGTGATTTTGATGTTTGTTTATTCTGATTCCGCCAAAAAAAAAAATCATTAATATCGTCAGGTCAGTCTTATTTTATTTACTTTTCGATGAAGCGATAAATAACCACCCACTTCAATTCAACTGATACTCGTTGTCACAAGATAATATAGATCCCATTTAAATACTCGAAGTAATCTTGATTAAAAAACTGAAGCCGACACTGAATAGGATCAGTTACGAATATTGTAAAATTTTTCTAAAATGCCAATAAAAAGACGAGATTTAATGCCTGCTCGACCATGACATTCAAACATAAAAACAAAATCTATAATGGATAACTATTCACGTTCTAATGAAGGCTAAAGCATAATTGTCAGCCGTAGCATTTAAAAGAAAAAGAAAAAAAAATCAGTAATGAAGAGCTAAACATAGTGCTGCCTTACCAACTGCACCCCCGATGATGATCTTAGAAAGAGATGGAAAGTACCGGGGAAATAAAACTGTTTCTCACTGTTGCAGTGCAATTTTTTTGCCACATTTAATTGTAATATACGGAAAAATATTCATGAATATGAAAGAATTATAATCAAAATACGCAGCCATGTTTTTAACTTATTCAATCAGACATGCTTAAAAGAGAATTTGCTGCCTAAATACACATACACACACGCGCACACACACACATACATATATATATATATATATATATACACACACACACACACACACACACACACACATATATATATATATATATGCACTCACATACACACATATATATATATATATATATATATATATATATATATATAAAAGCAATTCACCCCAAACAAAGCGTGAGTACCACTAGCGCGCAAGGGGTTACAGAGGATTGAGAAGAAGAGTAAAGAGCCATGTTTAGGGAAAGTATACAGAGAAGGACGGGGAACAAGCTCAGAACAAGTGTCAAATGTCAATTGACATTACATTTGAATATTGGAAGATAATACTCATCGAGGAAGCAAGTACGGTGAATGGAGTTCTACAGACGGGATCATCATCTTGCATATGCGTCTCTGGATTTTGTCGAGGAACTCGAGACTTATAACGTGAGCACCATACCATATATGCCAGCAATATTCCATATATATATATATATATATATATATATATATATATATATATATAATAAAGTGAACATTTAAGTCAACACTCAGCTAGGCGCAATCGTCAGGATGCGAATATTGGATTTTTCCTCTTCTATTTATATATATGAGCCATTGTGCGTAATCTATTCAAGCGGGGTTTTTTGCGGGTGTGGCTTATTTATTTATTTATTTACTTATTTATTTATTTATTTCCTTGGGTTAAATTATTTGTTTTTCATTTTGTATTATGTATTCTTTTTGGCTTTTGATGTTTTATTAACGTAGAAAAAATAGGGGGGGGTGGATTTGCTTAGGTCGCTGCTTATTTAATAATTAGTCTTAGTCCGGGAAGATAATTAAGGCTATTTATTTATTCAGTGTTTAGATTACTTACGGTAGTCTATTCGGTTATTTTGGCGGGAGACAGTTTTTAATTAATTTATTTATTTATTTGGATTTATTATTTTTACTTATTTTGCTTATTTATGCTTACTCTTATTAGTTCTAATGATTATTTTAATTTGTTCATTTATTTATTTATTTGGATTAATTTTTATTTGTTTTTACTTTATTAACTTATTTTTTTATTTTGTATATTTTTATTTACTCTATTTGGCTTTCGATTTTTGAGTAACGTATTAATGTCTTTTTTCATAATATAGCAGTTGTAGCTATTTTTACGTCCAATTTTTGGATTGGTTGTTGTAGTCTATTCTAACGGTTATTTTGGCGTGATTGGTTTGTTAATTTGTTTATTATTATTTAATTTATATATTTATCAGGGTTGACTATTTTTACTTGTTATTTACGTATTTTATCTTTAAAATTATTTAATTATTCCTTCCATTTCAAATGATAACTACCTTTCTGCTTGTTTAGAGAAATTAAACGTACTGGTGAGCATATTTCTATATTAAACAACTCTTTCAAAAATTATAACTGCAAAAAATTATCAGAGGAACACAATTATCCAGGGATGCATTTGTCTGGGGACATAAATGTCTAGGGACACAATTGTCTGGAATGCAAATGTCCATTACGCAACAGTCCGTCCAACAGATTCCTACACGTTCCAACGAGAAACGACATGCTTTTCTTAACAGATAATTCTACGATTTCTTGTCTGGCTTACTTCGTGTCCGAAGAGCCTTAAATGCGATATTCCTGGGGTAGAAGAAAATAAGAAACAGGAATATCAACTTAAACATGTCTATCCACAAAAAAAAATTATAGTAATAATTCGCAAAACTGAAATTACTTGTTCCTTTTTCCGCCCGTTGAAAGGACCTCTCTCTTATTGGATCTTATAGCTTTTGAAGATATGATCAGTCGTTCGTGCTATTTAGCTATGAGGGCTTAAGAAATGGATTTATACCTTTCCTATTAGTATTTGCCCGTAGATGAATACAATGAACTCGACTAGAATTCGAACTCGTCGCTTTGGTTATATTCTCATACGTAATTCAACATAATAATTTGTATGTTCCCCATACAGCGATAGTTCTAAGTCCTGCAGAGAGAGAGAGAGAGAGAGAGCGAAAGAGAGAGGGGTAAATAAGATTAATTGTAAAGGCTTCTTTCGATTTCAGGGTACCCTGTTAAACAGGGAACCAGCATTGAGAGATCAAAATTAATTTATTGAATACTAAGTGAGTGAGATTTCAAACGTTCTGAAAAATAATATATAAAATTAAGAATTAGCCCAGTCCTCATCGATATTTGAACTTAGTATTTTTTTTTAAATATTTGTTTTATATTTCCTACTTAGAATCCTGAAAGTGAGCGGTAACACTTTCTCGCAACAATGATTGTGTTATTTTCACAAGGAAACTATCTTCTTGAATTCACAAAATGTGTTAATGGAAAAAGCAAAAAAAAAAAAAAGTGTCTTTGAAACATTTCCCTGAAGGTTTTAGAAATTTATTTGTTGTCTTACCTGTGATGCAGATATATTATTAAAAGTGCCTGATATGAGAACATGAAACTAGATTGATTTGAAGATCAACCAAATGCAATTGAATTTCTCCCTCAATTTGCAGCTTCTACTTCAAATGGATTCAAATCCCGTATACTGGGGTTTTAGTGGACTTCAAACCTGATATATATATATATATATATATATATATATATAATTTTTTTAAAAATATCATTCCATCGCGACACAGAGATTACTATGTTTGAAAACTGGTGAGCAGTATTCAGGTTTAATTTCAATATTAAACCCTAACTACCAAACATCTCTTGAGGATGAGACTGCCACCCGGTATTTAGGGTCCAATATTGAAATTAAACCAGAAAACTGCTGACCAGTTTCGTAACATAGTAATTTCTGTGCCACAATGGAATCATTTTTTTTTTAAATTATAATATAGGCTGTACTTCTGTATTAAACACTGTTTTTAAAAAAAAAAGCAAAAACACTAAAGAACCTTGGATCATCAATCTTTTCTACTATATCTCTACACACACACACACATACATATATATATATATATATATATATATATATATATATATATATATATATATATATATATATATATAATTTCATGGTAATTGTTCGGATGAACTTTCCGCCTTTCTTACTTGTGGCTTTCACTTCCGGTTTCTTGTTTCCCAGCCAACATTGATCTTCAAAAATTTTAATGCAATATCAGTCGTTAATTTCCCTCTCTTGCGGTCTTAGTGGCTTTATTGCCTTCCTTGGGGAAAATGAAATATATATATATATATATATATATATATATATATATATATATATATATATATATATATATAGGTGACATGGGAATTTTTTTGAAGTGCGTATTGCCAGACATGAACAAGTGGCAACACTGCGAGATAATGACCTTGAGCAAGTAAGCATTTCGCCATTTAGAATTCAAGATGAAATTCACAGTATCTCAGCTGAGATGTTGCAGCACTCAATGAGGAATCTAAACAGAAGATTTCAAGAATGCATTCGTACAGGAGGACGCCATCTACAGAACGTAATTTAAAAAAAAATGAAAATTCCATCATTGTTTCTTAAATGGCAAGTTTGAAATAATTATGAATAAAATATTTTTCTTCCATCACTTTTGGTTTTATTGGATTGTTAAAAAGTTCCCTGTATTTTTGTGGGG